TGAATAGGAAATGAAAATACACTATTTTCGAGAATATTCGGCAGAAAAAAAAATGTATTCCAAATTATTGATTTATAGATATTTGATGTTAAATAAACCCATTTTGTTACCTAAATCCCACCATAAATTCCTAACCAGCCAGTGTAAACCCATACAACCCTATATTTTTGAGAAACACTCTTCCAAAGAAATTTAAATGAGTAAAAATATATAGGGGTTTCCTTTAAAAAAACATTACTTCGATAATTCATACATTTATCGGACACCCTGTATATTGGTAGTTATTTTTGGAACGTAGATTTCAATGCCCTCTACAACTTTTATTTGAAGCATTTTTTCCTATCTCATATAGGGAAGCAGCTATCGTTCACCCACGCATCGTTGATACACCCTGTATATTTAATATATAATTTTTAAAAAATTTAAAATATCTAATGAAAAGCAACTTAATAACTGAAATGATAAGCATATTAGTAAACTTCTAAATACGGACCTGCGTATTTATATTTCTCTTCAGGACTAATTTAGCGCCATCTATTAACGATGCTCCGAATTAATCTGTCATCAGTTTTATGAAGTTTTATATGCCAGATCATTCTTAAATATAAATGGCTGTAATTTTTTTTAAAAGTTACTTCAATGAGCTTTTAAGGAAATTGACGCAATTGATTTAGATCTTCTAAGTGACGTTTGTTGCTTTAAGAGCGTTATCCATGTGCTAAAATTGACTTAAAAGTAATTCCAAGATTCCAGGCTTATTTTTTAATATTTTTTTAAAAATTTTGGCATGTATATTTATGGAGTCGTGTATAATGGGGTTATGACACCTAGAACATTTTACAAGTATAAAATGTAAAACCAATTTTTTGGCACTTAACACATTATTTAATTCAAGCCTTTATTTAGTCTTAAACACATGATAAATATATTTATAATAAAGGCACAAAAACTATACTTAAATAGACACTAAATGAAACTTAAAAACAGAATTTTAATGATCATATATCTAAAAAGTGTTAAAACACTCAAAAATACAAAATCCAACATAAAACTAACGATGTAAATAATCAAATAACAGGTGAAAATTAATTTAAATTACGAATGGCAACGCAACAATGTCATATTCCTAGGGTTTTTTAAGAATTAGGTTAATCATTAATTACAATTAACTAATTTCTTTAAAGCAAATTTATCTTCAAATTATCTTCAATTACGATCCCGATGTAAATAAACAAGTCTATAGTTTTTTTATAAAAAAAATATAATTCGTTATTCCATTTCATATAAACTTTGGGGATCCTATTAACATTTAGTAGAGAAACAAATTAAATCTGAAACCATTAAGTTTGTTGTATATTCTAATGGAGCTCGTAACTATGAAATATGAGCACCTAATTTTCTCGAACTAACTTAATCTAACTAGGGCTATTTCGAAGTTAAGAAACTCTCGATCGATTGAAGTCAGAAGTTGGGAGAGTTTTGTATTGTATCATATCATTAATTATAGAAGATATTAAGTTCCATTAGCATGAGATACATACAGAAGCCAGTTATTTACATAAGTGGTATTTAGTAAAGTATGTATAAACTCAAATATTTAAAAGATCGGTTTGTCTTTCTTGGAAAATTTAATTGAAAATTTCACACCTCTACTTTTCAACCAATAAGATGCCTTAATTTTGACTAGTTACCATGGCAACTAAAAAAATTCATAGACTTTTTTTGAGGCGCTACGATATTTAAATGGAAATTTTTTGACAGTTGAAAAGTTAAACATATGATCTACAACCATTAAGTAATGTAGATAAAAGCAAATATTTTGTGAGATTGTAAAAGTATCGTTCGGAGAAATAATAGTTTCAATGATGTCTTCTAGATTTTCCTTTAATTGGGAGACATTGGATTCTGGAACATCGGCATTTTCCACTGGCATAGGAGCAGTTGTGGACAATATGGGCATGGTCCTCGTGAAAGACATACCAATATAATCCTCCTGAAAATTTTTTTCCCACACTTCTTTCAAGAAAGTAAGTAGCTTGCTCTCTAGTGATGTTTGGCAAAACATCATGTAAAATTCGTTCTCCTTTAATAGAACTTTGAATTCCTCGAAGGTAATTGTTGATATTGCTGATGTCGTTTTCGTTTTCTTCAGTTTCGTTAAAATGGGTAAAAAAGTCTTTAAGAGACGTTTGCCGTTGAGGTATTGTTCCTTTTGGCAAACAATTACTGTCATCTCCAATAATTGAATTATTGTTTGAAGTAGAAGGCCCTGCATCGGCCATATCAATTCGAGTAAATTCAGCAGACAATCCAGTTGACAAATTTCTTCCATTGTTGGACTCGCTGGCGGACTGTTCTGAATTTCCGACATCTTTTAATAGTATCTGAATAAAAATATAATGTTATATTCATTCTTAAAATATTTACATACTTAAAATACTACTCCAATAATGCCTGCCTACATTTAATTCTAAAATACCGTAAATAGGACAGGCCTCATAATTAATTGAGTCTTTTTTACATATAAAACAATGTATATGATAATTACTATGTCTATGTATGAAATGATACTGTAAATTATCATAGGATTGTGCAAGTAGCAAAACAATATTATTTTCTATTTGTGCATTGTAACAATTGACACATAGCAAGAGTTGAGGCTTCTCCGGTGGACTCAATTCTCCAGAAACATAAAAATGGTAGTAAAAACTACAATTAGTATCATCATCCCCGCAAGTGAAATGATCCAATACATCCTGGTGCGGGAATGACCAGAGAAAAGTAGGCTCTACTGGTCCATCGTAGGTTAAAATTGGTTTTAAATTATATTCCTCTTGATATGGCAATGGTAGCAGTATCTTATTGAAAGGTACCTCAAATGTCTGCATCGCACATCGCGGAAGATTGAAAGATGTTTTCTTGGGTGAATTTAATTCAATAAAAACTAAAACAAAAAAATTACTTACTTATAATTCTTGTACTAATCAAACTCACACTCACTTTGATCTGCAAGCAAAGAGAAATTCATACTGTTGATTTCTAAATAACGAACAACTTTTTAATACCGGTAAAATTACAAACCTTTGGTTTATATGCCGGCGGTTCCGGCGGCATCCCCTCCCAAGGGGGGGGGCATCGTTTCGGTACGACCGCAGGACATGTACCATGAAACATGTAGGCAGGCATTATTGGAGTAGTATTTTAAGTATGTAAATATTTTAACATTATATTTTTATTCAGATACTATTAAAAGATGTCGGAAATTCAGAACAGTCCGCCAGCGAGTCCAACAACGGAAGAAATTTGTCAACTGGATTGTCTGCTGAATTTACTCGAATTGATATGGCCGATGCAGGGCCTTCTACTTCAAACAATAATTCAATTATTGGAGATGACAGTAATTGTTTGCCAAAAGGAACAATACCTTAACGGCAAACGTCTCTTAAAGACTTTTTTACCAATTTTAACGAAACTGAAGAAAACGAAAACGACATCAGCAATATCAACAATTACCTTCGAGGAATTCAAAGTTCTATTAAAGGAGAACGAATTTTACATGATGTTTTGCCAAACATCACTAGAGAGCAAGCTACTTATTTTCTTGAAAGAAGTGTGGGAAAAAAATTTTCAGGAGGATTATATTAGTATGTCTTTCACGAGGACCACGCCCACATTGTCCACGACTGCTCTTATGCCAGTGGAAAATGCCGATGTTCCAGAATCCAATGTCTCCCAATTAAAGGAAAATTTCTATAAAAATTAACATTATTATTTATTATTCGCTTTAAAGTTTCATTAAACAGAAAACACAAATTTGTTTAATTATTATGGATTAACAATTTATATTTCAAAAAATGTAGGATGTAAAAACCTAGTATGATTTAAATGTTGCTTGAATTCAAACCACAGGGCCCCCGCAAGGGTTATCGCTGTTACATATTTTTTAAATTTCCTGGTTTGCTGTAATATTCTTGTAGTCGTTTAACATTTGAGCGAATTGCGAAACCACATTTTATTTTAATTTTGTAATGAAACAACAGATATTTCAAAAACCAATATTTAATTCTTACAAACGAAAAAACAAACCAAAGAGTAAACAAATAAAATATTTAATTATTAAAAAATGAAATAAGTTTTTTTCTAGATTTGGCAGCTGCAATTTCTTTTGTAATATTGTCAAAATCAATTTTATCGAGGATCTCTTGCCCTATAGCTAAGATTGCCAAACCCGATAATCTTTCTTGTGACATGGTAGACTTCAAATAATTTTTAATTATTATTAATTTTGAGAAGGATCTCTCACCAGAAGCTACAGATACAGGTAAAGTAAGCAGGATTCTTAACGAAATGGTACTATTTCAGCGTTGCCAGCATCAGTACAAACGTACTGAAATCAATACATTTGAATAAGCTTCAATACGTCAGTACAACATTTTATGTATCAGTACATTTTACGATTCCACTACACGCTACATTTTACATGTGTATGCTTCTTTGCTGCGCATGACCGTTTCTAACCACAGACATGAATCTACTTTTATCCATGCCACTGGCCTGGTGCGTCATATAGTCAGGTTTGTTCATTGTGTCAATGTGTAAAAAGAATAAGATGTCAGCTGTCAAACGTTAATGTTGTTTTTTGGTTCTTTCGTTCGCTGTTGGTGCAATGTGCACCAGTGTCAATTACACCACCTTATTTACATAGTTTACTTCCTCCTTAATTATTCTTTATACATGTGTCGAGTGTAATTCACTCCTGCTAAATAACTGGCGGAGAAAATATCCACCAGTGGACACCACATCGCCGACAGGAAGGGGTAGTGGATTTAACACCGGGCCAAACGAAAGGTGTAGTTCATTCTCACACCAGTGGGACGAACGAAAGAACCCACATTTACTATAATCTATCAACTGTCACTGTGGTCCTGTTATTCACATGGCTCATCATTTTTTTATCTGTATGCAAAAAAATATATGTTTACCTTCTAAAGTTTTTAACAATGTGTTCTACTAATAACAGTGATAACGAAGAATATAACTTACATCCAATAAGTGAGGTTGATGTTCAGTCTGAAAATTCCGAGGAGAATTCTGAGGAAAAGGAATCGAAAAATAAGGAACCTACTAATTGCAAGGTTTGTAGTAATAGGTACATGTTTAAATATATTTTTAAATACCTATACTCTTTTTTTTTAGAAAAAGAGAAAATTAAAAGTACAATGTGTCCAAAAGTGTCGTCTGGCATATATTGAAAAATTTAAATGGATAATTGATAAAGATGGGTGTAGTTTTTGTAAATATGGTCAGAAAATAGTAGTTGGTGGTTATTCACATTTATCAAGGCACGAAAATAGTTTAATGCACAAAAAGAAAGAAAACGCTGTAAAAATTTGTATTGATATAAAACAGTATCAACCAAAATTGACGAAAAAAAAGTATTGGCAAGAAAAATAAAAGAATGTGAATTAAAACTTACAATGCTGATAATTGAACACAATTTGCCGATGATTTTAATGGATCACCTTCCCAAGTTGTTGATATCAGCTGCCCCTGATTCACAAATTTTAAAAACTGTTACTTGCTCTAGAACCAAGACAACCAGTCTACTTAAAAACTTCCAGGCAGATAGTGAAAGAAGCATTTCATGTATTTTAAAAGAAAATAAATTTTCTGTCATAATAGATGAAACTACTGATGTTTCTATAAAGAAATCTTTAGCTATCCTTGTTAGATGCACCGATTTAGATCTACAAAAGGTTAGGGATCGATTGCTTGCTTTGGTCGAAGTCAATGATTTAACGGCAGAAGGAATTTTAGAACAAATTTTGGCAGACATTAAAAATTTATGTATACCAATACCAAATCTTATAGGATTTGCAGCTGACAATGCAGCCGTTATGATGGGCAAATACAATGGGGTGCAAGCTAAGTTGCGAGAAATAAAACCCAATATTTTTGTCATGGGCTGTATCTGTCATTCTCGACACTTATGTGCTTTCAGCTGCTGCTGAGAAATTGCCAAAACAGATTGAAGATTTTGTAAGGGACATTTACAATTATTTAAATTGTAGCAGTAGACGCATTGGAGAGTTTAAAGAATTCCAAGAATATGTGAGACTAAAACCACATAAACTTTTAAGAGCCAGCCAGACAAGGTGGTTATCATTAAAAGTGAGTTTTAGAGTATTAACTATTGTCCATAATTTACTTACATAATTACTATTTATTTTAGGCTGCAGTAAAGCGTACCCTTGAACAATGGCCAGCTCTTGTCTTGCATTTTAATGCAGCCATCCTAGAAGACAACTTGGTTGCAGCATCTACCATTCATAATGCTTTAAACAATATTGTTTACAAATTATATATAACTTTTCTTGCCTGCATTTGCCACTTATTACAAAACTAAATCTAAAATTTCAAGCTGAAAAACCACAAATTCACCATATTTATGATAGAATTCAAACAGTAACCAAAACTATATTTAAAAACTTCATGAAGAATGAATATGTAGATAGAAGAACAATTTTAAATTGTAACGAATTGGCTCTAGGAGAGTATAAGCCTATTGAACATATACAGTGTGTCTGAAAAAGTTGGCAACAAATGGGAAACTTTTTTATTATTAAGTTTAGGAAAAAACGTCATTCTTCATAAAAAGTTCTGTAAGGCCTAAAACCCAATATACGATAATCAGATATCGAAATTTTCCAATCGTATACGAGGTTTGTCAAAAAGTATGAATTTTGCTCAAGAGTAAAGTACCTTTATTTTCGACAATATCTTAAATTGTTATTAAGAAAAGTTGATTAGAATTGAAAACTACGTTTAAATAAAGGTACTTTACTCTTGACCAAAATTCATACTTTTTGACAAACCTCGTATACGATTGGAAAATTTCGATATCTGATTATCGTATATTGGGTTTTAGGCCTTGCAGAACTTTTTATGAAGAATGACGTTTTTTCCTAAACTTAATAATAAAAAAGTTTCCCATTTGTTGCCAACTTTTTCAGACACACTGTATACTTGGGTGCAAATGTGGCAATATTGCTTAGAACAGAAAAGTTGGATGACCATGATATTCACAATTTAAAATTAAAATGTTTATCATATTATATAGAACTTTGTTCTCAAATAAAAAAACGATTCCAGAATTTAGATTTATATGAAAAATTCAAGTGCTTAAATCCAAAGAATGTTGTAAATGGCAATGCAAGCATTATTGATTTGTTGTTGCAATTTCCTAGTATTTGTAATAATAAGACAGAAGAAATAAGTAGTGAATTCAGGGAAATATGTAATCTTCCAGAATCTGTTAAAATTGAAATTTCAGAGCTTGATGTTGAATAATTTTGGTTCAAATTATTTAACTTGAGAAATGCTGTTAATGACAATTGCTTTAAAAATGTTTGTTTATTTGTTTTTACATCCTTGCCCTTCCACATAGCAGTGCCTGTGCAGAAAGAATATTTTCCAATTTAAATAACATTAAAACAAAAAATAGAAATCGTTTACTTGTTACTACCACTAATTCTTTATTATTGGGCAAAGAAGTTTTGGACAAAAAACAATGTTTTGAATGGACACCGTCCGAATTTTTAATAAATAAAAAAGTTGAATATTAAAAAGGTTGTTATAATTTGGTAAGGAGTAAGAAATTAAATTTCCTAGACCTGGGGACCTATTTTTAAAGTATTTGAGCACTCATTTCTCTCAAGATGCTCATCAAAAATGTCATAC